TGAATAGGATTTGGAAGGCATCTTATGGGGGTTTGGAGGTGTCTTTGAGCATCTAATAGGGGGTTTGGGGCATCTAATAGGGGTTTTGGGACACCTTGTGGGGGGTTGTGGCATCTAATAAGGGTTTGGAGGCTTCTTATGGGGGTTTGGAGGTGTTTTGGGGTATCTAATAGAGTTTTGGGGGCATCTAATAGGGGTTTTGGGACATCTTAGGGGCGCTTGTGGTTTGGAGGCATCTAATAAGGGTTTTGGTGTGTCTCAGGGCATCTTATGGGGCTTTTGCTGTCTCCTGGAGCATCTTATGGCACTTTGGACCCTTACATGTCCCCCTGTCGTGTCCTCCCCTGTAGAAAGCTGACCTGGCGGTGGCCGCCTTCACCATCACGGCCGAGCGGGAGAAGGTCATCGACTTCTCCAAGCCCTTCATGACGCTGGGGATCAGCATCCTGTACCGGGTGCACATGGTACGGGGTGGCCCTGGGGACCATGGGGTGGGGGGGGACACATTGGTGCCACCACGGGGGTCTCACGCCGTGTCCCCACAGGGCCGCAAGCCGGGGTATTTCTCCTTCCTAGACCCCTTCTCACCAGCAGTGTGGTTCTTCATGCTTCTCGCCTACCTGGCCGTGAGCTGTGTCCTCTTCTTGGCTGCAAGGTGAGGGGGACACACACCCCATCATGCACCCCAATGGGGACACCCCATAATAGCACCCAAAACCATTGGGACACCTCAAAATGCCGCCCAAAACCATTGAGGAACCCAAAGAAGCAACCCCAGGAGGACCCTGTTGGGTTAATGATGGGGTTTGGTGGTCCAGTGTCACCCTATTGGGTCAATGATGGGGTTTGGTGGTCCTGGAGCACCCTATTGAGTCAATGATGGGGTTTGATGGTTCTGGGCCACCCTTTGGTGTCTCCAGACCATGGAACAAGTTGGGACCTGATGGAGAAGGTCCCTTTTGATGCCGTGTCCTCCATGTCCCCCCCCAGGTTGAGCCCCTACGAGTGGTACAACCCCCACCCGTGCCTACGGGAGCGTCACAACCTCCTGGAGAACCAGTACACGTTGGGCAACAGCCTCTGGTTCCCCGTTGGGGGCTTCATGCAACAGGGCTCCGAGATCATGCCCCGCGCCCTGTCCACCCGCTGCGTCAGCGGCGTCTGGTGAGGCCCCACCACGGTGAGCACTTGATGGGGACACACACAAGGAACCCCCCCTCCATGAGCCTTGTTTCTGCAGGTGGGCCTTCACCCTCATCATCATCTCCTCCTACACGGCCAACCTGGCGGCCTTCCTCACGGTGCAGCGCATGGAGGTGCCCATTGAGTCGGCCGATGACTTGGCCGATCAGACCAACATTGAGTATGGCACCATCCATGCGGGGTCCACCATGACCTTCTTCCAGGTGGGGGTGTGGGCATTGAGGCAACGTGTCCAGCTCAACACAACCTGGATCAACTCATCTCAACCCAACCCATCTCATCCAACCCAACCTGGATCAACCCAATGCATCCAACTCAACCCAATGCATCCAGCTCAACCCAACCTGCATCAACCCATCTCATCCAACCCAACATGGATCAACCCATCTCAACCCAACATGGATCAACCCATCTCATCTGACCCAACATGGATCAACCCGTCTCATCTGAGCCAACATGGATCAACCCATCTCATCTGAGCCAACCTGGATCAACCCATCTCATCTGACCCAACATGGATCAACCCATCTCATCTGACCCAACATGGATAACCCATCTCAACCCAACATGGATCAACCCATCTCATCTGACCCAACATGGATAACCCATCTCAACCCAACATGGATCAACCCATCTCATCTGACCCAACATGGATAACCCATCTCAACCCAACATGGATCAACCCATCTCATCTGACCCAACATGGATAACCCATCTCAACCCAACATGGATCAACCCATCTCATCTGACCCACCATGGATCAACCCATCTC